GTAAAAGAATAGGAGTCCCTAACCTACCTATGTAACTAAATTATCTTATGCCCTAGCCTACCTATATAATAAATTAATTTTTACCTCACCTACCTATGCTTCATTAACTTAACTCAAGACTCATGAAGAAAGAAAAAAAGGAGTAAAACAGAACATAAAATACTACCACACAAACAAACATGATGTATGTATGTATGTATGAGCAACCGCTAAAGAACCCACCTAAAATATAAAAAAATACAACATACAAACACACAAACCACAGACATGCAAACTCTATATAACTCTATATAACTCTATATAACTCTATATAACTCTATATAACTCTATATAACTCTATATAAAATAAAATTAAATAAAAATAAATTAATTAAAAAAGTATAAATATAAAAAAATGAGATCAGGCACTCCGACTCGAGCGAGGCAGAAATGCCTGATCTGATTTCAACGTTTTTTCAGCTCCTATTTATACTCGTTTCAACCATACATTTTCATCATTTCAATCATTCACATCAATAAAAAACTTATTTAATGTATGTACTACACTATTATACAGCCTTAACCAAAATGCTAACCGTACTAAATTGAAGTCATCGAACGAACGCCTTCAAAACATTCTGGTTGGCTGGTTGAATCTGCTATATTGCTTTTCATATAAACATATAATCTAATATAATATAATTTAATTATTTGTATACATGGATTCCAGTCATTTTATATATATATAATAAAAATTCATTATAAAAGCAACAGTAATCAGTGCTATATATGTAAGTACGCAGTTCAAATTTTTCGGGGAGAAATCAAAATAGTTTGAGTCCACACCTTGCTTAGCATCCGATTCCAAGCCGAGCCAAGCCAAGCTGAGCCAATATGCATAGATTTATAAGCGCTTTTATGTTCAAATTTTGCTCGCTATATTTATATATTTTATAAATTTATTATAAAAACAACAGTAATCATTGCTATATATGTACGCACGCAGTTCAAATTTTTCGAGGAGAATTCAAAATAGTTTAAGACCACACCTTGCTTAACATCCGATTCCAAGCCGAGCCAAGCCAAGCTGAGCCAATATGCATAAATTTATAAGCGCTTTTATATTAAAATTTTGTTCGCTTTTTAAACGAATATCCCAATATAACAAATTCTCCATCCTATTTTAACTTTCTTTGATGCTTTTTAATCAGTCAGGTCACAAAAATCATTATCGATATCGCAATGAAATCAATTTGAATTTTTTTTAATTATTGATAAAATTTTTAAATTGTTGATAAAAATAAGTAATATTTATAGTGTAGTAAAACGTTTAAAATTTTTTGAGAGAATTCAAAATAATTTGAGACTACACCATAACACAATTGTACAATTTGAATGTGTAAAAACAACATTATAAATGTATTATAATTACCTGAATATATATCTATCTATTTCTTTATTTAGTTCTGCCTGTGTATGATATTTTGTCAAATTTATTTGATAGGAATTGAATATAACCTTTATACCGGCTGATTAACTACCATGCAGTAAAATAACTACTGTTGACACCATTTCCTCCAACGATTTCGCAACGAATTACCCATACCATATAATTAGAATAAACTCTTTCAATCAATGTTTAAATTTTTATATTGTCATTTATTCTTTCGTTTTTGTTTCTGTACTAATTTTCGTGTCAGATACAATAATTTAGTTTTTAAGTAAATTTTCATTTTCGTAGCTATACCCAAACATGCCTACCTATTGCATTAAAAATTGCAATAATAATAAATAGAAATGAGAAAATTTCTGATGCATCTTTTCACAGGTTTATTTTCAAATTAACTTCACACTAAAATAAATGTAACAATATCCCTATACTCATTGAATATTTTGTTTTACAATTACATATATTTTACTTTATAGACTATTATAATTTATAATGCTATCATAGATTACCATTTTATTATTAATAAAAGCAATACTTTAGAAATGCACAAGTTTCTGTAACAAGTTTCTTTCCTTTTACCAATTTTTTTGGACACCTGTCGCTGATTAGTTAGACCGTTTTCAGTTCAGTTGAAAATAAAATTTAAACAAAAGAAAATTAAAAACCGCATTCAATATGTCATTAAAATTAATTTAATTTTTGAAAATGTTACTGACCTCAATTTAAATTTTAATTCGAATAATTTGCCAATTTTTAGTAGAAAATTTAAAATTTAATTCAGCGAGCATGTCGATGGTAGAGTTCTTAGGTTGCTTCTTGATCACCATTGGTCCGGTTCTCGTTTTGTTCTTCATGACCATCGCACATGACCCCATCCTCGTCATCCTCTGCATCGCAAGGCTGGCCAATTTGTTCTTTCTTTTATTCATTAATTCATTCATTTGTTTTATTTGTTTATTTTTCATATCAATAAATTATATATAAATAAAATAAACAAACAAAATTATTGTCATAGTAATAGTAAATAGATTGATAGAATTATTATATTATACTATTATAGATTTATATATTATTCAATAAATTATTCACAAATGAATTCATCAATTTAATGTTCTCTCAGATAATTTTGTTTATTCTTAAAAAACTTAAAAGTATCTTATCTATCTGGAGTCATTTATAATTTCTGTCATATAAAAATAATAAATTATATATATATATATATATATATATTATGTTACCTTACCTTTCACCACACAACAGTTCTGGTTTGATTAACAAGTGACATGGTTCAACTCAATTATTAATATTTCTATCTAATTAAACCACTAATTAAATTAAATTTGAATTAATAAAATTGAATTAAACTAATTAAGTAAATGATACCCAATGAATATTTCATTTATCTAGTTAACTCTTTTTCATAGTAGTTTAACATATTTATAACTTTTATTTCAAATTTTGCATTGTTTGGGCTGCAGTGCATTTTTCTGGATGTTATCGTTGCTGGTCTCCTCAGCGTGGTGGTTGTTCTTCGACGTCATCATCTTCAAGACCAAGTCAGTCGTCGGGTTCGGTGTGGTGTTTGCTGTCCTCTTCCAGGAGATGTTCAGATTCCTGCTCTTCAAACTCATGAAGTCTGTAATGCTTGTGTATATGTGATGTGTTTTTTCATGATTAGAGAATCGATTGAAATTTTGTTTTATTTTACTAATTAAATTATTCACTAATTCATCTCTTATTTTTATCTACTCACCAATTTATCATTTGTTCATTCATTCATCCATTCATTTATTTGTTCATTCGTTCATCCATTCATTTATTCATCCATTCATTCATTTGTTCATTCGTTCATAAGTTTAATAATTTTATTTTTAGAAAAGCTGAACACGGCCTAAAGACAGTGTGGCGTTCAGACAGTTTGTTCGTCAATGACAATCAGCTAGCTTACGGTCTGTATGCATGTTATATCCTTTTATAGCTTTAATTATTTTTTATTTTAATTAATTTCAATTAATTTAGTTTATTCGTTAATTTCAATTTATTAATTGATTATTTTGATTAATTTGATTATTTTAATGCCTAATTGCTAATTCAATTTTTTTTCCTTTAGTTGCAGGATTAGGTTTCGGCTCCATACATTGCATCTTCAACATGGTCAACCTGCTGGCCGCCATGTTCGGTCCGGGGACTGCCGGCCTCAGAGGACATTCCTACGACTTTTTCATTACTTCCTGTTAGTCACGTGATCGCAATTTGTATCATCACTTCCTGTTGGCTACGTGATCAAAATTTTATCGTCGCTTCCTGTTAGCCACGTGGTCAAATTTTTTTATTTAAAGGGGTTGGGGTTTATTGTCGTCGTCAGCTAGTTGTTCCTACTACTTTATTCATAATTTCCTGTTTTCGTTTGATCATTCACTATGATAAGTTTCTGGTGATGCTGGTTGGTGATCATGTATTTCATCATTGCCATCACTGAACCATCGTCATCGCTTCACTTTGTCATCATCATTTTTGTAGTTAAATTAACAAAAGTAACAACAGCAATTAATAATAATAACAACAACAATAATAATAATAATTATTATAATAATAATTATGGGAACGACTTTTATTTCAACCGCAAAAAAACATACAACAAAAGTAATGCTACAAAATTTCTGCTTTAAAATCTATCTAAAAACCTAAATAGCAAATAGTTAGATTCTTGCATTTCAGACTCATGCTCCAAAACAATCAATGCATCCATAACAACGGAAACCTATTTTATTTCCTTAAAACTTCAAATAAGGTATAAAAAATGATGAAATTAAGAAAATTGAAAAGAATCTAAATAATTATATATAAAATAATAATGATGAATAATAATAATAATGTTAGCATTCCTTAGCCTGGGGTTCCTCCTACTGAATATCTTATGGGGTATCATCTTCTTCCACGGCTTTAGGTGGGGTCTCTACCACCAGCCTGTCATCGTCCTCATCTCCCACTTCATGGTTTCGGCCTGTGTTAGTCGGCTGCCTTCATTCGTCCGTTTGTCATTAAATATATAAATGGATAAATGAATGAATAGATACGTCAGTCGATCAACCAATCAAACCAACGAACCAATTAACATACCATCCAACCAGTCAACAAACCATCCAACCAGCCAACAAACCCATCAACAACCAAACAAACAAGTCAACCAACGAACCAGCCAATTAACCAATCAACTAACCAACCAATGATAAACACTCACAGAGCATCCTATCCTTTCAGTTTGGAGTAGCTTGGAGTATTATGCTAACGCTAGCAATGGTAATCAGCATGGCGTTCTACACCTACAAGGTTCTTGGTGGCTCGTGGCAGCTGCTGAAGCGCTCCTTCAAGTTCACCGAGGCTTTCTGGTATCCCAGTTCGTCGTCGTCGTCTACAGCGGCTCAACCTGAAGATAAGGCCGAGTGATTGTTTGGGTGGAGGTGGATTTGCGGAAATGTGGCCAAAATGTTTGGTTGGCTGATCGGTTGCTGGGCTTGTTGAATGATCGAATCGTTGACTGGTTTGTGGAATGATCGAATGGCATTTGATGAGTTGGTTTGTTTGTTTTTGATTGGCTGTGGTTGGTTGAATGATTGATTGTGTCGTTGATAGGCTGGTTAGATTGTTAATTAGCTGTTAGTTATCATGATATGATTTGCTGGCTGTTTGAGTAGATGATTTAGTTTTCTTTTGGTAAGTTTGTTTGATGTTATTGGATGATTAGCTTGGTGAGCTTGTGTTATATTGGCTGGTCAGAAAGTTGTGGATGTCATATCTGTATATTTTGATGTATTGCTTGATTATCACTATTTCGGTAATTTTTTAGGAAAAGATTGAAAGATTGATTGAATGAATGATTGAATTAGTGATTGATTAAATTAGTGATTGATTGAATTAATGATTAATTTATTAACTGACTGCTTGCTTGATTGAATAATTGATTTGTTGTGGCGTGAGTTATTTACTGTATTTTGACCTGTAATGATATTATTATTTTGTAATTTAATTTAATAATTTAATTTAATAATTTGACTGATTGATTGATTGATTGATTGATTGATTGATTGATTGATTGATTGATTGATTGATTGATTGATTGATTGATTGATTGATTGATTGATTGATTGATTGATTGATTGATTGATTGATTGATTGATACGACATGGGTGTGAACTTGTTTGTTTGTTTCATAGCGTTTTATGTTGAATATTTAGTTACTCTTTGTGTGGCGTGTCTATGTGTCTTTAGTTTTGACGACATGTGTGTTTTGTGTTGCGATCACTTAATGTATTGTATGTTGCTCTCTCTATTGGACGTCTAACCCTCTGTTTGTATACATATTCGTACACATAAACACGTGTAATGCATACGTAATGTGTTTATCTTGTAATTTGGTTCTACTTTTTTCGTTTTGTCTTTTACAGTTTTGTATGTCGGTTATTTTGATAGTTTGTTCGTTATATTTCAAGAATTAATCTTTTTAAATGTTTATTTAATATTTTTATGTTTTTTTCTCATTTAAATTGAAAACGTTTTGAAATGTTATATAAATTTTTTTTATTGTTAGTTGTTGTTTTACTCAATTACGAAATGGTTAGGTTTTAAAAAAGGTATTCATTCATTCATTCATTCATTCATTCATCCATTCACTCTTTTTCTCATTCATCCATTCACTCTCTCTCTCTCTCTCTCGCTTTATTTTATGACATTCATAAAAATCTATCAGGAAAACGGAAACGGAAATGGAAATACGAAAACAAAAAAATAGAATATTTAAAAATCGACAAAAAAATTTTTTTGGCTAGTGAAAAAATTATTAAACATTTGACGCACGTCATTTTAAGAGCTATAAAAATTATGAGAGGAGCTTAGATGCGTTGGTGATTAGGAATGTGGTGGCAGAAGATGGTGGTGGTGATTAGGATGAGATGATGATGTCACACGTCTTAAAATCATAAATTTTTCTTAATAATTGTTAACATTCTGATTGGTTATTATTTTAAGTAAATTAGTTTCTCCGAACAATCAAATTGTTCTTTTCGAGCAAATGCCCTCTGTCGTTACTGCTGCTGCTGCTACTGTCGCTCATTTAAAAATGGTCTACATCTGTGAAGAAAAAATACGTCGAAATTAATTTAAAATATTCATTGCCAGCTATTTAGCCGCTGCTTCTAAACGCCAACTGAGATTAATAACAAACAGCAAATTTCTTTCACAAAATTTGGAAAAAATCGAGGGAGTTTTCTAAATATTAGCAGGTTTGTGTATTTATTAGTTAACACGTTCTATGTTTCTAAAATTCAAAATTGAATGATTCAAAACTCTTAAAACATCTTCATAAATCCACGTTTTGATCAGCCAACAGACCAGTCAACAGCCCAAAAAGCATTTAACCGGACACACGAACAACCAATCAGCATTCAATCAGTCACACAACCAACCAACCAGGAATTGGATTGTCGGGTTGACTATTGAACATCTCACCGACCATCAGTCTATCAGACTTCTTCTTCCTTACCTCCAATATGGCGTTCAGTTCGCATACTCTCAACGTTTTGTACTGTTGGGGAATTTATTAATTTATTTATAAAATTATTAATATAAAAATAATTATTAATATTAAAATAATATTAATAATAAAATTAATAATAACAATTATAATACTTAGAAGAAGTAGAAGAAGAAGTTGAAAAATAACCCCGGATATATTCTTCTGAACAAGTATCTGACTGAATAGTTTGACGCCCACGTCTGGACCGAACAATTTGACGAGTACGTTCTTGTCCATCACAAATATCTCTTTCCCGCCAAATGTTGACAAACTCGATTGCACCCTGATGATAGAGGTAACAATGATGATGGTAATGATTGTGAAATGTTGATAATGATTACGACAATGAAGATTATGATGATGATAATGATGGCGATGATGAATCAACCATCAAATTAACTAACTCCTGACTGAACCCTTTGCAAGCGAGCCAATGTTTAACATCTTCTGGCGAGGATTTCTCACTGATGTTAATTGTGGCTATCGGCGCGCCGTTCGTAGCGATTTTTGGCTTCCTTGGAACTTCTGGTAGTTGCTGCTGTATTTCAGCTTTTATCTGGTTCCTGGCGATCAATTTCTCCTGGTCGGATTTGCCTTAATGTGTGAGGGAAATTTGTAGAAATGAAAGGTAAGGATGTTTCTGGTCGGCTAGTTAGCCCAGTCGGCAAAATTTCCGTGTCTCGCGTTGTTATTGCGCAGTGACCTGGTTCGAATACCGTCTCTTCTATACCGAAGACCATCGTATGTAACGCACACATTCTAAAAAAGTGTGTGCGTATATTACAGCCTTGTGGCACGAAAGTTATAATTATTAATTTAAATAAATTCATATAATATAATAAAATAATAGTAAATAATATAAAAATTAATGATAAAAATGATAATAAAATAATATGTAAGCAGGTCTGAACATGTCAGTCAGAGCTGTGTAATAAAGAGAAGAAGAATGTTTCAATGGAAGAAAAATGATGCTACAATGCTTTAATAGAAATTGATTCAGAGTTTTGAATCCATTGAAACATTAGAATCCAATTTTATAACAGTTTTTATTATGCATCAAAGTTGAAAGAGAAGAAGATTGACTCACCTGATTCCATTGTGTTGTCGGTTTGATTCTGTAAAAACATAATTGTGTTTGTAAGTTTAAAGTGGACTGCATTAACATCAGTTCCAGTATTTTTAATAGAATTTTATATGTTTCATAATAAACCAGGTTAATTTATATAAAGATTATTGTACTACCAACGGTAATTTTAACAAATCACTATAAATATTCGCGTTAGTAGAATGACATATGGAAACCACAGAAATCGCCATTCTTTCCTTGCACAAGGCAACACAACTCTTATTAAAATGAAAGCATCCAACAGGAAGAAACGAGCGAACGACCTCAAAGGACCGGATGACAGACATGGGCAGGTATCCGATGAGTCCCGTGCTGCACGATCGGACCTTCGATCGCATCCTTCCCACTTCCAGGACCTTGAGAATTATTTCGTGAATTTGGTAGCATCAAATCGTGCTTACATCATTTTTATGGTTTTTTTTTTGAATTTGATCGTAAAATTGTTCTATTCGGTAAAATTTAGTCAATTTTGCGTACACCGGTTAGTTATGAAGTTAAAGATAAGTTTGATTGGCAATTAATTAAAAAAAATATACTTAAACCATTCCGGCCGTAACAGAATATCAATGATCGTAACAAAATGAATAATTCGAGATTATTTTATGTGAAATAAAAATAATAACCAGAATGAAAAAAATTGTAAATCTTTTTTTTTTTATGAAATTGAACTCAAACCTCGAAGACGTCTCCCCTTTCAACGTCCAGTTCTTGGTTATTCTCCGCCGGTCTGTTGTACGTCGCTATGATGAAGCTGGTTACGGGGAAAATATATTTTTGATCCCATCAAAGCTAAAAATGTAAATTATGACTCTACAATTACATTTTTTTTTATTTGAAGGATGGCCAAAAAAAGATAAACTTGTAGATAAGCCACCCATAACTAAAAAATTCTAACTATAAATGTAACAGGAATGTCGAATAAATACATACACATAAACTCACGCTCACACACACACAAACATACATCACATTATTACTTTATAATTTTGCATAATTATAAATACATACACATAAACTCACATACACAGACATATAACACATTACTACTCTATAATTTTGCCTCATTAAGTTTGTTGGACGTTTGGTCAGTTGTTTAATGCTATTTACTCGCTCAGTCAATAACTCAATTTCTATATTTTTATTATTACTATCATTTTATAAATAATAAGGTATATACCGAACATATTGCAACAAGTTTTTCATAAAAAAATTTGAAATAATTTTTCAGTCGACGCATACTCTTTTCCTTGCGAGATGAGGTAATCAACTTGCTGCTGCTGAGGCTGTTGGTCGTGCAACTGCTGCTGCGATAGTGGGATTTGCTGGTAAATCTGTTGATGTTTCGTTTGTTGTTTGTTTGCTTGTTTTTAATGTTGTTTGCTGTTGTTGTTGTTGATGTTTGCTATTGATGTTGTTGTTGTTGTCGCCATTTGTGGTTGTAGTTGTTGTTTGCTGTTGCTGTTGTTATTTTATGGTTGCTTACGTTGACGTAAAGTAATATTAAAAAAATTGAATCTAGAAATTGAACTACACCAAGCCGTCTACGTGACTTTGAGCGTAGTGCAGAAAAAAAGTTGACTTAGCCAAAAAATTAGAAAAAATACAAGAAAATTTCAATAGCTTAATGCTTCAACTGGGCAAATAAATTATGAAAAGTAATTATGAAATTATGAATGGACAACCATGTTGTCGTTAGGAGCAGTTGGAGAAGGCAGTTGTGGACGAGACGGTGGAAAATATTGCTGTTGTTGTTCAACTTGTTGTATTTCTTGCCTAATTTGTTGCATAGCCATTTGAGATTGTCTCTTGTTGGCTGGCTGCTGTGGAAATTGTGGCTGCTGGGGCTGGAATTGTGGTTGTTGTGGTGGTGGGTATTGCTGCTGTGGTGGATAATAAGAAAGTTGTTGGGGTGGGTAAGGTTGTTGGGGTGATTGGAGTTGTTGCTGGTTGTATGGTGGTTGGCTCGGTCTGGGTTGGTTTGTTGTCAGGGAGGGTGGTCTCGACCAGTTGGGAGACATTTGCTGACCGAATGAAGCCGACAGGGGTGGCATGATTTTGGGATCTGGAGACCACCCGTCACTGAAGACCGGAACGTACATAGGAATGTTACTGCAGCACAGCATCCAAAAAGATCTGGAAATAGGAAAAAATCTATCAGCTGGTTGACGACAGTTATTGAAAAAAAACATGAAACGTTGAAAATATTTAAAATTCTTGTTAATGGAGTAAAAGTATTTTTGCCAAAACAAATTGTTCATCAACCATTTGCAAATAAAACACTATCTCACTAGTGCAAATTTCAATAAGTTGACAAAAATATAAAATAAAACTAAGAACGACCACCACGAACTTCTCTCCGGCTCCGATATTCCATGCAGTTCCCAAGCACTTCCAGAGTTCGACCTCCTTTGTGAACATGCAGTCCTCCAAGAAGGTGATGGTCTCGTCGTTCAGCAAAGGGGTGATCACTTCCTCCCAGATTGGTTTCTCGTTCCGAGCCACGATCTGGCAGCTGGCCTCAACGATCAGATCCAACGGCTGGAACAAGTAGTGGACAATCTCTGGCGAGTTGGGATTGTTGATGTGGCCCTTCAGTTTGGCCTTCGTCGTAAAAAAAAATTGAAACACGTTGTGAGTATTCTCGTGATTTAACTATTTAGTTATCCATTCATGTATTCATTCGTTCGTTCATTCATTCGTTTATTCATTCATTAGTTTTTTTATTCGTCGTTTATTCCTTCCTTCCTTCCTTCATTCATTCATTCATGTATTCATTCGTTCGTTCATTCATTCGTTTATTCATTCATTAGTTTTTTTATTCGTCGTTTATTCCTTCCTTCCTTCCTTCATTCATTCATTCATGTATTCATTCGTTCGTTCATTCATTCGTTTATTCATTCATTAGCTTTTTATTCGTCGTTTATTCCTTCCTTCCTTCCTTCATTCATTCATTCATGTATTCATTCGTTCGTTCATTCATTCGTTTATTCATTCATTAGTTTTTTTATTCGTCGTTTATTCCTTCCTTCCTTCCTTCATTCATTCATTCATTCATTCATTCATTCATTCATTCATTCATTCATTCATTCATTCATTCATTTATTCATACATTCATTCATTCATTCATTCATTCATTTATTTATTCATTCATTCATTCATTCACTCACTCATTCATTCATCTACAACTCAATATAGAATAATAATTAACAACACGTATTTTAACATTCCAAAATGATATAAGGCTGTCCCAGCTTAACAAAAAATTAATTACTACATTTGTCAAGCATATAAATAAAAATTATATTTAGTAGTAGTAGTAGTAGTAGTTGTAGTAGTAGTAGTGGTAGTAGCAGTGGTAGTAGTAGTAGTAGAAGTAGTGGTAGTGGTAGTAGAAGTAGTGGTAGTAGAAGTAGTGGTAGTAGTAGTAGTAGCAGTAGTAGTAGTAGTAGTAGTAGTAGTAGTAGTAGTAGTAGTAGTAGTAGTAGTAGTAGTAGTAGTGGTAGTAGTGGTAGTAGTAGAAGTAGTGGTAGTAGTAGTAGTAGCAGTAGTAGTATTAGAAGTAAGTGTAGTAGTAGTTGTTGTAGTAATTGTTGTTGTTATTGTTTTTGTTGTTGTAGAAGTAGTGGTAGTAGAAGAGGCAGTAGCAGTAATAGTAGTTGAAGTAGTAGCGATAGTAGCGGGTAGTGGTAGTAGTAATAGTAGTACTGACCAGTAAATTGAAAGAGAGCTTAATGTACTGGAAGACTGTGATGAACTCTTCTCTGGTTGGTGGTCGAGCTCTCATGACCAGCATGCCATCTGTGGTGGTGGATGGATAGATGGATGGATGGATGAATGGAGGGAGGAATGGATTGATGGAAGGACGGACGGATGAATGAATGGATGGATAGATGGATGGATGGATGGATGGATGGATGGACGGATGGATGGTTGGATGGATAGACGGATGGATATATAGACGGAGAGATAGATGGATGGATGAATAGATGGATGGATGGATGAATAAATGGATAAATAGATGAATAAAGGAAAAAAGATAGAGTGGATGATTAAAAAACTGAAAAAAATCAAGATGAAGAAGAAAAATTAAAAAATGGGATAACTTCCCAATGGGAATAAGAAACCTCCAAATCCGGATTTCCTGCTGTTTTTCTTCCTCTCTTCCAACTGCTTGTAGGCGTCTGCAACGTCCTGGAGTTTCGTCACCAACAACTCAACTTCGTCCAGACACCTATTCAGTAGTTCCTGTGATGACGATGATGATCAATGATGATGATGATGCTGGTGATTATTGCGATGGTGATGATGATGATATAGCAGTATCATTGTAGAAAAAAAAACATCATCATCCAAATCTTCAACATCATCATCGTCACCATCAACTTCATCTTCATCATAATCTTCTTCTTTATCATCATCACCATCATGGCCACCACCATCATTACCATCATCGTCTCACCAAATAAACATCCCTCTGCTGCTGATCGTCGTTCTGTTGTTGGAAGACAGTGCGCGCTGGTGGTAGCTGCAACGACTTCTGCTTGTACTTTATTGTCGCCATAGCTACAGTCGCGTCCAAAATTTTATGTTAACAATCTTTTAATGGTTTGGAAAAAAAATGGAAATATATTTATGTAAAAATTATAATAGTAATTACAGCCAGTTAACTTTAACCCAATTATCATCATCATTATCTTCAACATCATCATCATCTTTATCGTCGTCATCATCATCGTCACCTGCACTACCATCATCATCATTATCATCATCATCACCACCACCACCACCACCATCATCACCACCACCACCACCATCATCACCATCATCATCATCACCACCTGTTCCTTTGGCGCCTTCCTCGTCGTACCAATCGGCCATGTTGATTGACGTCCTAGAGGAGGATGACGACGTGCCGACCAGTGGTTGCTTCGCCGAGGCTGCAGCAGCCGGTGGTGGACCGTTTTTACTGCAGTGAAAGGTGGTGATGATGTTGCTGGGCGTTTGAAAAAGAGAGAGAGAGAGAGAAAAGGAGAGAGAAAAGAAAAAGGAGAGAGAGAGAAGAAAGAGGAGAGAGAGAGAGAGAGAGGTAAAAAAAAAACTGAAAGATAGCGAAAGAAAGAAAAAGAAGTAAAAAGAAAGAACTGGGAACAATCTCACCTATCTTTCGTCTTCGCAGCATCAAAATTTTTCAGAAACTCTTTGGCGACAGGCTGTGAAAAAAAAATAAATAAATAATAATAATAATAATAATAATAATACACGTAAATTAAAAAACTCCTATTGAAAAACTTGTGACATTTATTGGCTGACAAGTTAGCTCAGACGGTTAAACTGCCACGTCCGGCGTTGAAGTCATTGCGCGGTGACCTCGTTCGAACGCTCTCCTGCCAGAATACAAAAAAGGCAGACTGTACTTGAAATGTTTGTGTCGTGTGATATGGATGATGCTAGATACGAATTTATTTGTTCGTCCTGTGGTGTGGATGTTACCACAGATGTTGTGTTGCGTGAATGTTGCAGCCCTTGCGGCCGCTTCTGTGACTCCAAAGTATTTTTTTTAAATAAGTAGAGAACGATTTGTGAGCACGTAAGCAGGTTTACTGAAAAACAAAATAAAAATTGTTTTATCAAATTTAAAATATCAAAGACATGCTATAATAATAAAAATAATAAAATAATAATAATAATAAAATAATAATAATATTAACAATAATAATAATAAAATAATAATAAATGCAAATTTTACTCATATCTCCGTCATTGTTCAGCTAATAATGTGGCGTTGTTATGTGTAGGACAATACAGTTGCGTGATTGCTAAATTATAACTATAATTAATAATAATAATATTAAAATTGTTTTTATTATTATTAGTAGTAGTAGTAATAGTAGTTGTTGCTGTTGTAGCAGCAGCAGCAGCAGCATTAGTAGTATCAGCAGTAGTAGTAGTAGTAGTAGTAGTAGTAGTAGTAGTAGTAGTAGTAGTAGTAGCATCAGCAGCAGTAGTAGTAGTAGCATTGGTAGTAGCAGTAGCAGTAACAGTAGTTGTGGTTTTTGTTTTTATTACTATTGCAGTTGTAGCAGTTGTTGTGATTTTTATTATTAATAATAAACAAATGGTACATAATTATTATTATTATTATCATTATTGTTGTTAATATTACAAAAAATATTTATCGGTGAGTTTTTAAAAGTTTTGTTGAATTTGGAAGATTAATTGACTGAGTTGTACCATTTTTATGTTCAGCATATTTGAAAATATTAATTAACAGGAAATAAAAATTATTTGTTGTCGGTGAAGTGATTCTTGAATAAGTCAAAGTTTTACAATAATTTTTTAACCAATTACGTTTGATAGCCTGTCTGTTGATTAGTGTTTGTAAATTTCGCGTTCGCCCGTTCGTTCGTTTGTTCGTTCATACATTGGTTCATTAATTCGTTTGTTTTTCATACATTCATCTGTTCATTAAATTATTTGTAAATTCATTCATGCATCCATCCATCGATTTGTTTTGAGAATTCATTCACACAATCATTTCATTCATAATACAATCATTCCTTTCTTCTTTCATTCCTGTTCTCGTTCATTCATTAATTTTTTTTTCTCAGTTATTTAGTCATTTTTGATTCATTTGGTCGTTCCATTAACGTGGGCCAATATAATCACTAGCCGTTCGAGTTCATTCATTTATTTTTTCACCAAACGCTCATCAAACATCTTCAATTTCTTTCACACAACCATCTCAAAACAAATCTTTAAAATTAATTCAACAAAAATGGAGTCATTTACAATGAACACAATTTGACTACTCAGTAGTCATTAAGTTTTCCAAATTCAGCAGCACACACAAACACATTCACACACGCAGCCACACAAACACACACACAGATAGAGAGAGAGAGAGAGAGAGAGAGAGAGAGAGAGAGAGAATAAGAAAGAGAACCACACTCAACAATATTGACGATGACAAACGATAGCAGACAATAGCAGCTACTAGCTACCATTTGATATGAGGGTTCGTATAACGAACAGTCTGCCCGTCTCATAAGAACTTTTAAAAATTTTTCTGTAGTAACTAAAGTGGAAATCATTTACTTCTGCTAATGAAACGAAAAGAATTTAATGCATTATGATGCATATGTGAAAATGTGTGTGTGTGTATGCGTGAATGTGTATACATATGTGATTGTGTATGTGCATACGCCTGTGTTTGTGTTAGTGTGAGTGTATTAATGTGTATATCTGTGTGTATGTGGGTGTTAGTATGCGTGCGTGTATCTGTGTATGTACGTACGTGTGTGTGTGTGTGTGTGTGTGTGTGTGTGTGTGTGTGTGTGTGCGTTGTTGTGTGTGTCAGTCTGTACGTTCACCTGTTTTAAAAGTATTTACAATAGTGAGTGCGTCGTATTTAAATACCTGTGTTTTTCATCTATCTGCCTGAATGTATGTGTGTATGTATGTTTTGGTTTCGTCGTTTGTTTCTATAAGTGTATATTTATGCACGCATTTTTGTATATGTGTGTGTACGTGTTTTCCTTTATAATTGTTTATTGATGACATATCTATTTTTATTTTGATATGTTTGTTTGTGTGCTGTTATGTTTCCTCAGAATTTGTGTCTTTAACAGCCATTATGTGTTTATTAGCATGAGAGTTTTAGTGTCTGTGTGTGTTTGTGTGTGTTTGTTTGTGTGAGTGTGTGTCTGTGTGTGTCTGTGTGTGTTTGTGTGTGTTTGTGTGTGTTTGTTTGTGTGAGTGTGTGTCTGTGTGTGTCTGTGTGTGTTTGTGTGTGTTTGTTTGTGTGAGTGTTCTATCTTTGCAGAGGTGACTTCGTGTTTGCTTTTGTTGTCATATTTATTTATTTGTCTTTCCATGTGTTCGCGCTTTTTAGTTTGTTTAGACGAATGTTTGCAAACGTGTTTTCTCTCGTATTTTTTTAGATGTAGATTGTTGGAGCGAAAAACACGTTGTAATATCCAACAACACTGCGATAGAATCAATATGAAAATACTATGACATTCCTTTCAAAACACGAACCAAACACAAACTCACTCGTTCATGGAAAGAAACAACAACAACAACAAATCAAAAAACCATAAAACCTTTTTAGTGTCAAACTGAAATATGTAGAACTGGGCCGGTGCGATCTGTAAATAATCCTCGATCTTCATGAGCACCAAGTTGCCACACTTGTCCATCACACTCCTCACAAACGTCTCAGGACAAGGAGTGATGCTGTAGTATGGAATTCTTTCGGCAACGTTTTTAGTATTCTTATCAATAATCTTCATCTCGGTGGGGTCAAGTTTAAGAATGACCCTTACAGGTCGGAAACATTTTGTCCGGTCGAGTTCATGCAACCTTATTATGGCTTCCTCTGGTCTCGAGATGACCAGTTGTGGGGAGAGGGATGAGGAGGAGGAGGTAGAGTTTCTGTCGCCCTCTGTACCCTGTTGGGCCAGCGACGAGGGAGTGATTTCTAGATTCAGGAGGTGGTCAACTTCGTATTGTGCTCCGTCCGAGGGCATTTTTAGTTAAATAAGGATCACTTTTTTCTTTCTGTGCTTTTATTTTGTTATCTCTGTTTATCAATTTTTAATTTTTTTCTTTTTTAAATAATAATTTCTATTTTCTTAACAGTTCAAATATGACTGATCTTTCAAACTATAAATATAAAACGCTATAAACAATCGTGACTAAAACTTCAACAATGCCTTTATGCATGTCATCAGAAAACTTATTATTATTATTATTATTATTATTATTTATTAATTACCCGATATGAAATTTTAGGAATATGAAATAATATCAGTAAAATCAGTTAAATTAATCTGTGATTATATCAAAATTATGTGATTTGTACTCTTTTCTCTAGAGAGTGAAGATTTATAAATCATAAATTGATCCGTGTACGTGCATGCTTGTTCTTATCAAAAAATAACACTTGAACTGTCTTCATTATTATTCTGATCAATCACTAAATAATAACAATAATAGAGAAAAAATAATTATTATTTTTTTGCTATTATTATTAATAAATATTCAAATGAATATTATAATTAATTTAAGTTAAAATTAAAGCTACTGAAGACTTCGAAATGTATGCTTACATGCGTGTGTTTATATATATATATATATATATATATATATATATATATATATGTTGGTAATATATATATATATATATATATATATATAGGTGAATGCTGGTAAAACACTGTATGTGTGTGTGTGTGTGTGTGTGTGTGTGTATAAATACGTATTATGCTGCTATTTGCTATAACCTGACAATACTTGAAAGATATTTCAACTCAAGAGAATCGAAATACACTGTATAATATCGGTATTAAATCAACTCGCATACATACATACATGCATGCATGCATACATACATGCATGCATACATACATGCATGCATGCATACATACACACATTCGCACGTACAATCCGGATGACAAACGCTACAAAAAATAATACATATCAATACTATTACATAAATTTAATTCTGTTTGTATTATGAAGGGAGCAACAAAGAACCTTTCTGTGCGGGAACCAGGAATATAAATAAACACCGGAACCTGAAATTGATTTCAGCTCCCTCATAGCTTTTATCATACATTCATACAGGCAAACAAACAAACATTCATATATGCATAACACATATTGATTAAATTATGAATTATATATATATATATATATATATATATAATTATTTATAAAGATCTCTGCGTTATCGGCATTATTCAAAACGCAGAGATCTTCATAAATAATTGTATTTATGATAGTCTAATCCCAATATATATATATACATATATATATATATATATATATATATATATATATATATATTTCAATTTTAGCGTTTAATATGAATAGTTAAATTAATAAAATATTGAAGAAGCTATATTTAACTAGAGGGACTAACTGTTATTAATTATATATTCATTCATTCATTAGTTATTTCATTCATTCACTCAATGGTTTTACTGCTATTTCGCACTTTATTCTATGTTTCATCTATCTGCCCATTCATTCATTTATTCGTTCATTTACTCATTAATTCATTCATTCCTTCATTCCTTCATTCATTCATTCCTTCATTCATTCATAGTTATAAACTATTCTAATGAATGTTCATTAGCATCTATAATATTGAGGATAAAACGCTGGTGTGTTTGTGTGTGGTTTGTGTCTATGTGTGTGTGTGTGTGTGTGTTTGTGTGTGTCTGTGAGTGGTGTTTGTGTGTGTGTGTGTGTGTGTGATATAATGTAAAATTTTGAAAACCAAACGGTATTAATTTAGGATATATCGAACCTTTTGAATGCACCTACATTTTGAACTGCGAATTTATCATGCTACCTCTAGTATATCGTGTAAACGCATACATCGGATGTTTAAATCTAACGTAGTTTGTATATATCGAAGTTTAGATACATCGAAGTTTAGATACATCGAAGTTTAGATACATTGAAGTTAATTTTGTTTACACTTTCGTTATTTATAGAAATCTCAGAAAAAAACAAGTCTATAAAGAACCGTTGGATGAGTTTTCAGTAAACTTTTACGTCCGCGTTTCGAAAATGTTTATATTTTTATTGCTATCCCTATTAAAGTTTTTATTATTACTTCTACTACTACTTCATAATAATTATATTATGACGATAATATAATAATTATCATGATTATAATTATAATAACTATTATATTATAGCGTAGAAGATATTATATTATAGCTTCGAGAATATTTAAAGGCTCGCCACACCCAAATATTTTGGCGTCATTTAATCACTAATCATCATTTGACTGACGTAAGTACACATTTTATGATGGCTGTAAATTACGAGCTCTTTTTTGGTAGACCAAAAACGTCTTTGTATATGTGCTATTAGTGGATTATTCAATTTGCACGTCTGCTTGTCTTCTCTAGTATTATCTTTAAACTTTTATTGTCATTAGATTACACAATTATGTAATATAATGTGTAATCAAATGACATTACATTACATTGCCATAACAATGCATAACATAGGACAAACTTCATTACCTTACCTAACCTCAAGTTTATTGTTCTATATTGCATTAAGTAGATTAAATTGTCAAACATTTATTTGTCTACATTACATAACCTTAATTTTAAGGCAAGACATTCTATTACATTACATTACAATGCTTTACCATATGATTACATTAGCTTTACAGCATAAATGCCAATACCATGTTTAATTTCACTGGATGGCTTAAAATATATTTCGTTATATAATATTTAATTTAAAATTGATAGAAATCACATTTGCCTGTTATGGAATCTATTTGTGGTGGATATTTGTGGTGTAGAAGAACGGAGTACAAAACGTCGTATCGGTATTTGAAGTGCGCACTAAATACATATCAATAAATACAAATACGGACACAAATACAAATACCATTCTCGTACATAAAATACAAAACAAAATACCAATACCACTTTCTGGCAAGTTCACACCTAAATACGAAATACCCTTAACTTGGTATTTGCAAAAACTCAACTATTCTCCAACTTTTTCTAATCTAATCAAACTGCAAATTTATCATGCAAGGCTCAAGTAGAGTTTAAGTAGGATCCGGTATTAATAAGATCATTGTGTATGTTTGTATACAAAGGTATGCATTGTGTTGTATGTTCAGTACAATCATTAAGGCATACATTATGTATATTTGTATTACCTGTGTGTATACAAAGATATGCATTTAATAGTTTTTTTTACAATCGTTAAAATATGCATTTGTACATGCAGTACATACATTAGGACATGCGTTGCATTGTATGTTGAATCGTTCGAATCTGATCGACTATGAAATGTGCAAATATCTGATACGCAAGTAGTTACAGTTTGCTCCGCTAATACAGGTATGATGGTTGTGTGTCGAGGTTGTTATTGTCATGTTGTACATAGAAACACTACTGCAAAACATATAGATAAACACACACAAACAAACACACACACACATACATGTATACACACATACATGCATGCACACTTACATACAAACACATATACACACGTACTCAAATATACAAACACCACTCGTACATACAAATACACACACATACTAAGTACATATAAAACACAAACTAGCCTTCTTACGATCACACATAACCCCACATACATGCAAACACACGCAAACATACACACATAGACGTACACACAAGTATGTACGTGTATGAAACGTGCATGAAAGTACCCGCCAGTGCAAACATAACTAGGCATTTGTACAACTATTTCGATTGTCGTCAAATTTTTAAGAACCTACCAACTCTGCGACAGACACCAAGAATTGAAATATGAAATGTCAACTGAGTAACATTCTTTCTGTTTTTCCTTCTGTCAGCAAACCCAGGGCCGCAATAGCCAGTCACAAATACTATTCTTTATTTTTTTCTCCTATTTATTTCTTTCAACTTTTACTACTGAAAATTATATTACGACTTGTAGTAATACTAGTACTGCTATTGCTGATGTAACTACTATTAATGTTACTACAACTACAGCCACTACTACTACTACTACTACTAATAATAATAATAATAATAATAATACAACTATTACTACAATTAACTACTACCACCACTACTACTACTAATCGCAAATTCGTCTTCAGTTCTAATTAAAAATACACACCCAATGTATTTTCTATCAGGCCCCCAGCTCGCATCATCATCATCACCATCATCATTATTATTATTATCTTTCTTTATTATTATTATATACTATAATTAAATTATATTTATGTACTATATTATTATTATTACTGTTATTTCATAGGAGAATAATATTATTAAAAATTAATTACAATGTCTAGTGTTTTTATTATTATTATTATTATTATTATTATTATACTTATCGGTGTCTTATGTAAACAATACGCACTCTTCAAAATTCATAATACCCACCCACGCTAAAACACACACACAAACACACACACACACACACACACACACACACACACATATATATATATATATAATTATATCACATACACACACACACCACACAAAATACATATATACAAGATATATAATTAAAATATAAAATAGTTTATGTAACAAATGTTACATGTATGTTACATAAATTACTTTACATTCTAATTACATATCGTGTATGTATGTATTTTGTGTCTACCTCTGTCCTCCAACATTTATTGTTGATGGATCATTCAAGGTTCATAAAGTCATCGGGACAACCTCGAAATGAACTAGTTGATCTGATCTTCGTTTTGCGTCCAGAGACCCGGTTTCCCGAGGTAGAACGCTGTTTTCTTTGCCATCAACTTTTTGCGCCAAATTAGACGATCAGTTGTATCCATTTCATTTAAATTTAGAGCTTTCATGTCTTGCTCGATTGTTTGCGACCAGGTTGGTTGCAGGAAAACGCGGTAGTTAAAAATTAGTTGGTTGCATGGGCCGATGGGTTGGTATATTACCCAAAATAGTTAATATATGCCAAATGCCAAAGAAGAGCTTTGTGCAGATGGTTCTACTTCTACAGGAAACTGTGGATCGATCAGTTGGCCGTTTACAAAAATATTTGAAAGTTATAAAAAATGTTTTTAAACAATTTGACATTAATTGGTGAATCATTAGAAAACATAGAAACAGCCGCTCTTCATATAAAAACACACGTACACTAACACACACACACACACACAAACATACACGTGCAAAAAATATCACAAGAAATAATAACTATTAACTTTAATTAATTAAGTAATTGAGTTACCATGGCGGCAAATACTTACGCAGAGGTAGATAAATTAACGTAATTGAGAGCAATTAGTTTCTTGGTCATCATCACATACCACCAACCACATCGAAAGCAGCATCAGCAGCGTTCCTAGCGACAGTTAACTGGTTCTGTAGCGGTCGATACTGAAAGAGTTCAATCGAAATTAATCTCATGTTGGTGTTTGTGATCGTGACCAAGGAATATTAATAAACGTTAAATATTACTCATCCGTCAGCAGACCATCATACAAATATTCATTTCATTTATTACATTACGTGCTAATTTAGGCACGCACACACACAGACACACATACACACGCAAACATGTGCAAACATACATACATACCTAATACATACATAGCATGGTTGACAAATTTGAAAGCGTAATTTACATTTGAGTCATTCATTTTTCTCACTATTGTAAACAAGACTACAAATCCATAGGAATTCTACACACACACACACACTCACACACACACACATTTTCACGCGCACATACACGCACAAACAGTAGCAGTAGCAATAAATCTGAATAAAAGTTTTTTATTACGTAGTTCTTTATGAGACTAATACAAATACAAATACAAAATCACTAAAGCATTGTTCTTCATTTAGTGGCACATTTGTACGTTACGTCGACACCACACGGGGCACACTACCTGATACATCTTGCGATACATACATGATACATCTTGTGACACATACATGATACATCTTGCGATACATACATGATACATCTTGCGATACATACATGATACATCTTGCGATACATAAGTGAACATCTTGCGACACATACATGATACATCTTGTGATACATACATGATACATCTTGTGATACATACATGATACATCTTGTGATACATACATGATACATCTTGTGATACATCTTGCGATACATACATGAATCATCTTGTGATACATACATGATACATTTTGTGACACATACATGATACATCTTGTGATACATGCATGATACATCCTGTGAGATAAATACATGATACATCTTGTGATACATACATGATACATCTTGCGATACATAAGTGAACATCTTGCGACACATACATGATACATCTTGTGATACATACATGATACATCTTGCGATACATACATGATACAGTGCTTATTACCATACATGACACACAAGACAAATGATGCCATTGGGTTCGGTGCCGTAAGTATTCGAACCCCGTCAGTGCAAATAACAAACATTTCAAGACCAGAGTCGCTAAGTATTTAGAGCATTTACATAGTACTTATTTTCAACAGTAACGCTAGAGACATCGCAATCCTATTGACTGCCTAGCCGAACGGTAACAATAATATGTGAAGAGTACAATACAAACTATAACAACAACATAAATAATGATAATAAAAATAATAAAATAATAATAATAGATAGCTAGAGAATTGAAACAATAATTTATTAATTATTCTAATTCATTCAAGCGATTAACTATAACCTAGTTGGATGTTACCAATTGATATAAATAATGAGGATGGCGATGGGGACCAGATAGTGCCTCAGTCTGTTCACATATCCTAGTTATTCATTAAACATAAAACATGGGATTTTACACTCCACACGGAATTTTGCCGGAAGCGAGCAGAAATGACGTCACGCATGGAACTTCAAGATAAGGATATCCTGCTAACATCCCAATCGTGTCGTATGCTATTCACTGAAACACATTTGTTATATTAACAGTTTGTGCGGGTAACCTCAGGAAGCCTGGATAATCACAATCATCTAAACACTTTTGGCCAACGTGATGTCCTATATTTCAATTCCTATACCAAATTCTTTGGTTGTGGAGTACGAACGCGAACGCGAACGCAACGAAACTCACGACTTGAACGCTAAAATGTTTTCTTTGCGCGTGCATGCGTAAAAAAATTGAAAAGCGCCATTGAAAACACGAAACTTTCCATAATTGGACGACTAATTGAACCCGAATTACAATTTCATTTATAATTATACATCATTTCCTCTCTCGCGAAACAATACAAAATAAAAAATTGCAAAAAATAACATAAAAGCTACAAGTTTTGACTATTAACAATAAAATTAAAACAACTGGCTAATTAACTGACACAACTAATTAACACAATCAACTAATTGACAAACAAGTATACAAAAAGCAATAACAATACAATCCGGTATAAACAATGGTAAACGAATTAGCATAAAAATGAATAAATTATGCTAATTAGCGTGCAGTGCTTTCAAAAGCTCCTTCCTATCTTGCAATAATTTGAAGAAATTATCTCTATCCTTCCTATTCGGTGGCTTCCTTTTGGCTTTGCACTGCTGCAGCTTCTTGTAGCACTCTACCACCTGGCGACGAGATAGAGTTAAATTTTGCTCTATGAATATTAAAATAATATTTTATTCTCTTTCTATTTATTAAACTTACACGTAAAATATCATATTTTGTTAGTCCTATTTACTTTATATAAAACAACAACAACAATCACAAAATAGCAATAGTAATAGTAATAATTATAATAATACTACTAATAAAATAATAATAAAAACAATAATAAAAAAATGATAATAATAAAAAGGTACCTCGGCGTCTATGGAGCTAATCTTCTTTTTGATCTCCTGCTTCTCCAGCTCCTTCGTGGCCAGGTTCAACAAATTTTTCAACACTGCAACATTTTGCTGCGACAAACTCTTCAACTCTCTCTGCTTCTTCCTTATCTCACTCAAAATCTCGTCATCGTTGTCATCGTCGTCGTCACCGTTGTCGTCCTCCCCGCATTTTGATTGGCTGGCGTTTTCGTCGTCTTCATTCGGGTCTAGGATGCCTGTCCAACGCATTTATCATTCTTATCGTTCTCCTCTTTAATAGACCAACCAACCAACCAATCAACTAACCAGCTAACCAATCAAGGACCATCCAACCAACCAATTAGACGTTCAACCAATCATTCAATCATTCGCTCGACCGATCAATTAGCTACCTAACCAACCAACCAACCAACCAACCAAGTGCTTCTAGCTCCCTCTTGATCCTATCCTCCAAAGCGTCAGCTTCCACATTCAGCTGCCTGGCGAGTGTGGCCGACGGTACTGTGGCCGCTTCAATGGCGTCTGAATGAATTTATTGCAATGATGACGGTGATGATGGTAAATATGAAGTGACCAGAAAAAACAACAAATCAACCGGCATCCGAAATCATGACGTCACCATCAGCATCATCGTCATCATCATCATTGTTATTGTTGGTGGCATCATCGTCATCGTCGTCACTGATGATGTCATCGTTACTGATAATGATGTTCTCCTCGACAAGAGCTTGAACCAATCGTTGCGTCAGCGGACCGTATATCGAACTACTCTCACTCCCGCATGTGTAAAAATTAATTATATTATTCATACATAAATATTATATTATATTATTAATAAATAAATAAATTGGCATGAACATATGGCAAACAATTTGAATCATAAGTCAATTCATCTGCAGTTGTTATTGTTATAATTTGAAAAAACTGCTAAAAATAAAAAAAGTTTAAATGGTAGTTTAGTGAGAATTAGTGATCATCTTACTTACCTTTTTGTTTCGAAATCCCTTTTTATCATGGAGCCATCGTCATCATTTTTGTTGGATGATGATGGTGGCGGTGGTGGTTGTGATGGTGGTTGTTGTGATGATGAGGAGGAAGAACTTTTCCTCTTGTTGTTCATCTTCTCGACTTGATTTAAAAATAATTAAATGTTTTATATTTCCATAATTTAGTTTAACAATTTATTGTAATAATAATATCAGAAAGTAATTATTTATATTAACGTAAAATGATGAGAAAAATTAATTTATTTAATAGAACAACAAGTTAATGCATGAAAAAATGACCAAACCCTCAACCAAACAACTATAAAAATAACCAAACCGGCAGCAAACCAATTACTCAATCAATCAACCAATCAGTGAATCAATCAACCAATCAATCAACCAATCAGTGAATCAATCAACCAACCAATCAATCAACAAATCAGTGAATCGATTGACTAACCAATCAATCAACCAACCAACCAAACAACCAACCAATCAATCAACCAACCAACCAACCAACCAACCAATCAACCAACCTTCTCTTCTTTCAATCAACTCATCTTCTTCCTTCCACTTCTCGGTGTAGTGTCGGCCTAGAGCAGGGACGCGCATGTACTCATCGATGTCCTCACATAATTTTATCTGCTCCTCTAGAAATTTTATATCCTCCTTGGTGACGTCGGTGCAGTAGGGCTCGACCATGGCCCAGAATCGAAGGGGCGTTATGTTTTTCGGGATCTTTATCTGCTGTTGTTGTTGCTGAGTCGAGGATTTGGTCGTATCATAGCTCTCCGATTGCTGCTGGTTCTGAAGATTTGAAAAAAATGTTAAAAAAATATAACTTGTTGTTTCATAACTATTAAAACAGATAAACTCTTCAAGACAATAATAATAATAACTACAATAATGATAACAACAACAATAATAGTAACAAGGAACAAAAATTTATAAAATTGTAAAGACAAATTTATATTTCACTCCAAACCTTTCCCTTCCCTTTGTAAGAAACAGGCTGGGCGTAGGTGGCCCTACCCGAGTCCGTCCTCATCCTTTTCACGGGGCGTTCATCCCCCAGTTTACCCTTGCTGTGTCTCTTCTGAGAAGTAGATGGCGCCGGCGAGCAGTCAGGCTTTGGACGGGAGAATGGAAAAAAATAAATTGAAATAATAAATTGACAAAATAGATATAATTAAAAAATGATAATAATAATAACTCACCTGGTTGCCGCTACTGGCCGCTGGACTCAATCCAACCTTGCCCTTCTCTTGCCAGGAATTAAGCATCTGTATCTCCCCATTCAGCAGTTTGGCCTGCTTGGAAATGGCCGACAGTAACAGCTCCAAATCAATGTAAATAGAGTCAATGTCGCCATATTGTAAGTCGTTGTGGTCGCTGCCGTTGACAACTTGAATGGTTTTTTAAATAATTTAATTAAATGATTAAATAATTTAAACAATAATGCGTAATCTGTAATGGGGTTGTAATCAAGTAAAAGTGTTGCCATGATTGCTTGATATATTTACATAAAAATAATAATATAAAGTCTAGACTAGAATTATATATTATGATATAGTTCAGATTAAAAAACAGCCAATAAAACCATTGAGGTAGTTCTTATAATTTTATATTAATAATTACTATAATTATTTTTTATTATATTATATTATTACTTCTAATTTAAGTTTAATTTTAGATTAGAGTGGCTAACCACCATAAATTTTAATTTTTAACTTGTGTCACAAATTCATAAACAAAACCTACCTTTATTTATCAAAAAAATAAATTAAATTAACTTTAAGAGACAAAAACTTAAAACAAAAAATGCTTAATAACAGTTAAATGGGAAAAATGTCAATAACAATTATAATAATTATTAAATTTTAAAATTATTAAATTAAATTTATTAATAAATTTTAAAAAAGCATCATCAAGACCCAGACCATTTAGGATTTTATTGCAAAGTTTGGAATCAATCGGCCTGACAGTGGGAAACGATTCATCACTATTTGACAAATTCGACGAGGATTTCCCACTTTTTTCTCCTTTCCCTTTCATTTTTCGCAATTTTTGAAGCGATTTTTGTTAAAACCTGTAGAAAACAAAACCATAGAAATTTTAAAAGTTAATCGCAGTTACAAGCGCTACATAACCAAAAAATATTAATAGGTATTACCATGGAAGTTATTCAAATATGTTTTTCAAGTGTTACGAATAATTTTCAAAACAGAGAATTAAAAATTGTCACATAATTTTTATGAGAAGGTTTGTAAATTGTAACAGGTAGAGAAAGCGAGTCGAAAAACGTAAAAAAACGTGACGTCGTTATAGACAGCTCCTTAACTTAAATAATAAAACTTATGATTTCAATTGAACTGTTGAAGTTTTTAATCAGGTTTATACTTTTGTGCATATATCTTCAATCAAGATATAGGCTTTTTTGAGTTTCATCTTAAATTAGAAGTGTAACTGCTTTGGCTTAACCATGAATTATATGATTCCATGGGCTTAACTTCTTACCAATTCCCTACCGATGAATATTATTGATAGAATTAAAAGGTTCAAAGTTAACAAAACATTTATGTAAATATATATTGATTTAAAATTTTTGTGGTCTCTTCAGAATGGTGATTTCTGGCAAAATTTGTATCCAAAGTTTGTGTTTGTGTGTGTGTGTGTGTGTGTGTGTGTGCGTGCGTAGTGTAATACATGTCTGTTTTTAACAGTTAATTAGCCCGATAAAGTGAAAAAAATTCATTGTTCTCATGTTGTTGGCGAATAATAATTAAAGAAATATATGAAATATGTTCTTAATAAAATGATTTATATTTTCCAAATTAAAACTACCCTGCCATCTGTTGGCAATATTTTAAAATTAACTGCTACAACGACGCCAACAAATTAAGGCTCTTAATAAATTACTTCTGAAAACAACCTAATGCTAATAAAATATAAAACTAATTAACATTTCATTGATTAAACAGTTGTAACGTTATTTTTATTGTTATTTTTCTCTTTCTTATTATTTTTTACTACTACTACTGTTACTACTACTACTGTTACTTCTACTACTACTACTACTACTACTACTACTTCTACTACTACTACTAATATCACTACCAGTGTTGTATAGATTACTTTTGGAAAGTAATCTGATTACAAATTACAAATTACTTTTAAAATTAGCTTGAGATTACAAATTACAGATTACTTTGCAATGATGTGTCCGATTACAGATTACAGATTACATCATCAAACTTTTTAAAATTACAGATTACATCATAAGAATTTTATTTAATGAATGCCACATAGTTTTATGAATTATTGAATTATTAAATTGTAATTATTCATAAAATAATTTAAAAATTGCATTTTTTTAAAATTTCATGAAATTTCAAACAAGTTTGAACCAAAAGCGACTTTGATTATCCTGCTTCATAACGCTTTTGAGCAGACCAACTTTTTAGCGGTCTAACTAAAAAGCATACGTCGTCAATGGATAAACTATTTCTTTTGGAATAAGTCATTTTTTAGTTTTTTAACTTTAAATTTTAAAAATCTTAGGTATTGTTGTCGTTAAAGTAATCTAAAATAAAGTAATCGTGACACCTGTTTAGATTACAGATTACACAAAAAATGTAATTTGATTACAGATTACAAATTACTTTTATAAATGATGCGATTACAGATTACAGATTCAAAAAAATGTAATCGATTACGTAATCGGATTACTTGTAATCCGATTACTATACAACACTGATCACTACTACTACAACAACAACTACTATTACTACTACTACTACTAATTGTTATTTTTTATGATTATAAGCAAAGCGACATTAATAATAATAATAATAATAATAAAAAATATTAATAATAATAATGACTTTAAAGTCATTTATAATGATGGATGCTTCAAATTTTTCTTAACCTGTGTATTAATAAACGAAGTTTTTATAAAGAAATTTTTAATTCTATCGAAATATAATTCATTAAAAATTATCCTATAAATCAATTATTAAATTAAATTGAATAATAAAAATTAATTAATAGATCAATTACCCAACGATCTAACATTATTTAAAATAATTTTTAAAAAATTATAAGTCAATTTTATAAAATAATATAACTATTAGAAATTATGCAAATTGGAAAACCAAAAGATGCTAGCATGTTAGCTAGCACAAAATGGTTCTGTAAGGCCATGTTAACCAGTGTAGCACCAGCTTTAGGTTTTACGGTTGTCATTATAACTCTTGTTACTGCAGGTCTGTTTTATAGTTTTTCAGAATATTCATTTGATTAATGACGAATTTATGAAAAAATTTGATGAAATTTTTCTTTAAAAAAATTTGTAATTACGAATTGGTTGGTTTTCTATTTATGTTTAAATTTTTGCCAGTAAAGTTTGGCTATCATTAGGTTGAATTATTTTAATAAGTTAAAAAATATTTTAAACAATTTATAAATTTTTTTTTCAAATTTAATTTAACTCTCAAATCATTTTCAAATGCAGTTTCCAGAAACATGAGCTCTAAAACAAATGAGCAGACGTCAGATTTAACATCAGCATCCTCCAACTCATCGTTATCATCATTAACATCAAATTCGTCGTCAAACTTATCATCATCGTCGTCATCGTCAGCTGTGGACTGTTCAAACTCTTCATCATTGTCTACATCATCATCAACAACCTCATTACCACCATCATCCAGTCCATCATCAACAATCATTTCTTCATCATCACCATCATCATTATCTTTATCAACATCACCTTCACCATCAATATCAGAAGCAGCAAAATTAGATTCTTATTCATTATCATCAACCTCGTTAGAAACATCATCATCGTCGTCGTCGTCATTTTCTACGACACCATCATTTACATTCTTGTCCCCATCCTCAACAGCAACAGAAACAAGGGACGAAGACGACCCAAGCTTGTTCTCCTTAAAAAGTTGGTCTCACTAAAACTGTCGTAAACAATTACAGTCCTTTCCATATTCCACACACTCCTGTTCTTTCTCGTTCCATATCCTTTCAGGACATTGGCGACCATCGACCTCCACAAAACCCGATCTTTAACACTTTGTAAGAGTTGAAATGTGGTCATATTTAATAAATTACACAAGGACTTCACGAACGTTATTCGTTGTTGACCGCGTTCTCTTTTCCCAGCAATCTTTCCAATAGTTGTTACATTATCCATTGTTTCCTTCCATATGGTGTGACCAAAAAACTTCAACCGCCCCCGTCTGTAGTAATTTCCCCTTTTTTTTTAAACCGGACTGATTTAATACATCCTCATTCGAAGTATGGGATGTCCAACTAATTTTCATAATTCTTCTCAAAAACCACATCCGTAACGTAATGCAAAACACCTAAAAAAATATGACAACCTGGCATGAACGAAATAATCGAGTTGTGAAACTTTTTATTTCAAAATTTTGGTGCTGAGGTTCCAACAATAGATATTTTTGTTAAGGATGGTGTTAAATTTAGCGTAATAAAAATTTGGATTTCGAACTGTTGCAGTTCGACACGCGAGTAGAGTAACCACATGTCAAATTTCACTAAAAAATGTTTCTATAACGGGAAAATCATTGACGTTTCTTGCAGAACATTTTCCATAATAAGCAAAAAAGACCGTGATCTACTTTTATCTGTTTCCAGAAAAATAGATCGAACTTTAGAATTAATTTTTTTAATTTGAAGCATACGAATGCACACTCAATTATCAATATTATTAAGATTATTATTATTATCATCATCTTTATTATTATTAATATTATTATTATTATTATCATCATCATCATTATTATTTTTATTATTATTAAAATGTAAATGTAATGTAATAGTGTTAAAACATGTTTGATCAAATCGAAAAAGACGACAACGCTCTTGTTGATACAAGTCTCTAAATTGATCCGACCATTCGAACAAATACACTTCCAAGCAAATCAAATAATTATTCTATAATAAAAATATAAAATAAAATAAACAAGTAATAATATGATATAATAATAAAATATGTATTATAATGTAAATAAAATATAATATTATAGCCTTTCAACCCCACCCAAATCCCTACATAGCGACCTGCCCTTTCTTCGAGGCAACCCATCTCTTCAACGTTTTCTCAAACCTCCAGCTGATGCATGGAAGTCCTTACACCATCCCACCAATCCGTCTCGCCTACGTTGACTTCTACAACAGCTCCTTCACTTTCCAGCTGGTTAACGTGTTCATGGCACTTGAGAATGTTGATTCTGTCAATTTCTACCTGGGAAACGCGCCCAACGTCTCTTCATTGGTGTTTAAAGTACCTCGCTATAACAAGGTTTGCCGTGGAAATTGAGCTATCAAATGTTTTTTTAAGATCATTTTAAGTAGTATTTAGAATGTTTGAAAGTTAGATCTTTGATATAGCTGAAAAGAATCTACGAAACTTAAAACTTAGAAATTTATCTAACCGTATTTCAAATTAGTTATGTTTCAAAAAACAAACACACTAAAAGTTTTTAACTAGCGTTATAAAACCTTTCATTTTTTTTAGAATGAATGAATGAATTATTGATTGATTGATTGAATAATAAATAAATGAACCAAAACGTTTTAAACAGAGCGAACCAGTGCAGTACATTAAGGATGGAAGCTATGAAGTTAAATACATTAGAATCAATCTCAATCCCATCAACTCAACACTGAACATGACAATGGACCTCGTTAGAATCGATATCTGCTCCGACCACATTCAAATGATTAACGGGTAATGTCTTGTCAATCATCTTTCAATTATTTCAACAGATTTACTCGTTTATTAATTTATGTAATATTTGCATGTAAATGTGCACATTTAATTAGGAAATTTTTATCATATTTATCTTTTATATTCATAACCAGAACGACACTACCAACTTAATGATACGTTACAACGAACGAAGGAGTAGCAACCTAGATATGTTAACACTTCTTATTTTACATCTTTCGGGTTCTGGCATTTATTCATTTAAATGGAACTGCTTAACCCTAAAAATGCAGAGTAAGTGATAAATACCAAGGTTGCCAATAAACCACAGAATAGTAAAAGAACGGATGTTGAGAATTACCTCTGTACCTCGTGGGACAGTGAATCCATTACATTTCGTATTGGATGCATTACTAGTAAAGACGATAACGCTAGCAAACTAAAATTTCATAATTTGAGGACAATTAACTTCATTTTACTCTTCTACTTTACAAATTTCTATTAAGTTATTTAAAACTATAACGAACTTTTTATGGGAAGTTTATTTTTCTGATTTTATTAACAGAACAAAAAACATTTTTTACGATTTAAGTTAGGATATAAAATAACCAGTTAAAGTAAATTCGAAGTTTAGAAAAAAATGCAGTTAGGGTTAATTCAATTCAAAATTCATTTGTCGGTAGTTTTAAAATCGGAATTGTTATGACGTGCACGTTAACAGATGACAAACGATCATCGAAAAAATAAAACAGATTAAAAACACATGTGACATTTTGATTTCACGGACATGATCTACAATGGAGCCCGACATTAACATGAATGAAATTTACCATTAGATCACATAGCACACGAATAAAGATTCGTTTTAACTGTAAAAAATGTTAGACACATTTTAATTTTCAAGAAAAGACTAAGCCCTTCTCAATACCTACAGAAGAGGCGCTTCTCAAAAACTTTCAACCAGTAGTTTGTTGATTACATAAAACTTAATAACATAAATGTCAAAAGATCTATATAATATTTGTCGCTGTCGTTGAAAATATAACATAAAAAACATTCAGACGTAATAATTGTAAATAATATAAATAACAAATAACAATATGCATATCATAAACGGTTTTGTTTTTTTTCTGCAGTCAAACTGCAGGTCTTCGAGTTTCTGTTCGAGAACCAGTTTCCGTTGGATGGCCTGCTCCAAAAGTCCACTCAAAATTTTTTTCTCCTCCTCGGCAGCTATCAACTGTCGACGCTGTTCTTCCAGTTGAGTGACGTACTCATCGCATCTCTGGGCAAACATCCCTCGCACTGATTGGAAGTTGACAGCTTCCTCCTTCAACAACTTCAACTCACTCCTCAGCCTGTGCATGGTTTCTGTGACGATGACTTTCTCAGATTCGTATTTCTGTTTCAAAGTAGAAAGAGAAGTTTTAGCAGTTGTCTTGTTGGCTTTTAATAAACTCGTCAGTGTGGCAATCCGTTCACGTTTTGTGGCTAGCCGTGCTTTCAACTTGGTGATTTGTTCCTGCAGATCCGTCTCCTCTCTACTACCAGGACTTCTTAATTTTGTTTCCTCCTCTGAATCTACCAATTGCAGATGTTGTTCCTCCAGTCGAATGATGTACTCGTCGCATCTGTCTCGAACCAATAGGACGTTGTCAGAATCCTTCTTCAGTAGTTTCAGCTCACTGCACAGTTCGTGCATGGTTTCTGCGACAATGGCTGTATCAGATTCAAATTTTTGTTTCAAAGTAGCAAGGTCAGCAGCGTGGTCGGTCTTAAACGTTTCTATCAATTCATGTTGTGTGGCTAGCTCTTCCTTCAACCTGGTGACTTGCTCCTCCAGATCCATCTGATTCTCATCATCAGCCATCGTTTTCTCAACTGATTATAACTGCAAAATGATGTAAACAAAGTTAGACTGTTTAAATAACAATAATGATGGATGATTTTTGAAATTGCTAAAAAAAACTATCATGGTCATTGTGAAATAGCTTGTTAGCTAAAATTTAACAAACAAGTTTATATATAGAAAAACACTTTACAAGCAGAAAAAAGGTCACAAAGGGCTGTCCATGAGGGGTATAACTCTTGTTCATCTTTTTTTGCCGCCCCCCCCTTTCCCTCCACAAATGGTTACCGATTCATTTATTACCCTAATTAAATAAGTTTATCACAAAACCAATGACTACCACCTGTTTTGAAAAATAATTTTACAATTTCAAGTATTTTTATTCTACTGCAAAGTTGTTAGTCTTGTTCTTAACAGGATGATGATGATTTTAATTTTTTTATAAAATTAATTTAAAATGAGTTTGAAATGAATTTAAAACTACATATTTTTATTTACAAATGTTAATTTACAACTGTTTAACTGTAAGTCTCTGTGCAAAATTTAAATAATTTTTGTTTGAAGTTTGTTTCAAAAAATTATTTTTAAAGAAACTATAATTTAATAACACTAATCATAATCACAGTATAGTCAGCAGTATTGTCATAGTGTGAAAGACACAAAAACACACATACACCTATAAACAAATACATTCACATAACATAAATTTTAAAATTTTAACAAAAAAATTGCTTCCGATGTGATTGAACTGATTTCAGATCAGTTGAAGCTTACACATGATTTGGTGATTAATATTAATATATAACTTATAATTTTAGAAAAGACATTCACACGCTAACACACATTAAGAGGTTAACTACTAACCTAACACACACAACAGCGACACTGTTCTATGGTATGTATACACAATTTATACATTGATTGTTTATACATACTTTACATTAAAAAAAACTTAAATATTCATGAAAGAGGTGGACGACACCACAAAGAAACACTTACAATTTACCCCTCCCAACCACTTGTCACAATTTTTTGACCCCTACTGGCTGCTAAATAAATTCTTTTAACTAAACATCTTATATTTGACATGCCCCATCCATAGCTTTTTACGCCTAACGGTCAGCCCATAAAAACATATTTCCCAATATGTATATATATTTTTACTTTTTAGACATATTTAATGTTAATCAAATCAGTGTTACAAGTTACTGTTAGACAGTGTTTGTTAGTCACTATTATTTGAGTGTAGAGAATTGATAATTTACTAAACCAACCACGTTTCATTTTATGATTCATTCGAGATATCGATCGAAGACCGTGTGCGTTAGCGTGTGCAATTTATTTGCCCAATACAAATAATATAAAATTAATCCGTACTATCAATTATCACCATTTAAACATACACACACACACACACACACACACAGAACCTCTGCCACAAACTATAATTATGAAGTGAACAAAATTGATATCACCATTATACGTTGTATGATAGTATATCAATCAGGGCTCCTGTTAACTTAACACATGTGTAAGTTTGTGTGCATGTGCGTCTGTATGAGAGAAATGAATTTTTTTTACAGGGGCCACTCCTAACATCTGTTATTTTATGTTTCTATTTATTTAGTCTGTCTGTCTGTTCTATGCTCCGTGTATATCAATCCGTAATGGCGGATGAGTGATCGGTCCTGTCCTTTTATCCTATCATTATTTCATTTTTTACGGTGTTAAATTTTTTTATCGTAAAGTCTTTTACGTATTTTTACATTTTTTAAATTATGCGAAATTGAATTTCATTAATTAGTTATGACTGAGCCAATAGACATCCATAAAGATTTTTTCCGTCTGAAGCAAGAGTTGGAGAAGGCCTGCCAGGAGAGGAACCAGGCAGCCGAATATGGCCTGGAGGTGTTGGCGCAAAAAGATCTCCTGCAACAAAAGTACGTTGACTTGGAAACTCAATATGACTTGATGAAACATGAGCTGGAATGTGTCAAACAGGTTTGTTTAGTTTGGAGAATCTTTTTTCATAAAATAATAAATTGATTTTAAAATTTTATTCTTAAATATTAATTGTAATTCTTATTAATGAAACACATAATATTAATTATAAATTATTCAGTTGTTTAATTATGGTTTGGTCATATAAAATTATAAAACAATGGGATTTTAATATTGATAATTTACTGTTGAGTTTGCCAACAAACTTATACATTGCAAATGTCTAAATCTAAATTAATTTTGGCTGCTAAAAATGAAGCAGTAAAAATTGATGTTTTTTATTTATTCACCAGAGTCTCAACCAGGTACAACTAAGCAGCAAACGAATCAGTGATATAGGTATCAACCAAGAGGAAAGTCTCCTGCAGGAATCAGCCACCAGAGAAGCTGAACTTCTCCGCACGATCAGTGATTTAGAAAGTGAAATTAAAAATGGCAAAGGCCTGATTGGTCAACTGAAATCAGAAAATGACAAAATATCAAAAGGTTCCCTTGAGTTAAAACATTTTTATGACCAAATTGAGGTTCAGAATCAACAAATGAAGAAAGATTTGAAGGAGTTGAAATTCAGGGAGGCCAGAAATCTGAGTGATTATTCAGAACTTGAAGAAGAGAATATCACCTTACAGAAGCAGATTGCTCAATTGAAACAATCCCAAGTGTTCTATGAAGCCATGAAACATGAAAATAAACGACTGCTAGAGGAAGCCGAAGAAGCAGCTGCAGAGTTAAGTGAACTTGACAAACTGAAACGAATGACAGAAAAGAATCTAGAAGAAGCATTACAACTTCTGCAGATCGAGCGAGAACAAAAACATTCTCTGAAGAAAGAACTCGACCAACGTATTGCCTCCGAATCAGTATTCAATCTACAAATGTTCTCTGGACTGAATTTCAGTGCTCGAGACATTGAGTCTGGTTACAGTGAGAGTCCAGATCTAAGGCCTCAAGTTGATGCACCAGATTTCTCTCCTAAAAAGACAGTTGACGGTGAGGAAGAAGAAGATAGTAACAATGCCATGTCGCAAAGCATTGTGGGCGATCTGTTCTCTGAAATACACATCACCGAAGTCCGAAAATTAGAAAATTTGGTGGATGAATTAAAAGAAGAAAAGTCAAAATTAGAAGCATTAGTTGAAACATCTAGTCAAGAAATTGAAACACTCAGATCTGAGATCTGCAACAAAAATGAAAAGATTGAAAAGTTGAAAAACCAGCTGTTGGAACTGAAGCAAACATCGATCTTTAATGAGTTAGTGGATGTGGTTGATGGACAGGATGACCTAGAGATGGATGTGGAGGTGCTAAGAAGACGACAGCAACAGCAGGACCTCAGGTACCGGCTGGCCCTTGATGAGATCAACGACCTCAAAAGCCAACTCAACACTCCTGATCACATCGCTCGCATGATTGACTCACTCAAAGAGAGAGAATCTCAGCTGAAAGACGAAATTAAGCTGCTACAAGAAAATTTAACAAAGTCTGATAATAAAAATGGCGATCTTCAAAATGACCTTCAAGTCATGACACAATTGGCTAATGATGCTCAGTCTATTAATAGCTCAACTTTAGAAGGTTTTGTTTCACTTATCATTACTGTTTGCTTAATATTATTTTTTGTAATATAAAATTCTAAAATAGCTAAAATTTTGTGACATATTTAATATCTCTTCAAAATTTAATTCTAGGTCTGACAAACATCACAAAAAATATAGCCGGCATCTACTACTTGGTGTGCGAGGCCATCCATGAAACTCCGAACCGCCTCATGCTGGAACATGTCAGAGGAAAGAAATCCAAAATGGCCTCCTCCAAAGATATTGAAAATGGTTTCAAGGTCGAACACAGCAAAGACATTGCAGATATTAGACAGGATGTCTCTGATGATATTATCAACAAAGAATCAAATGTCACTCCCAGCAGAAATGAGAACGAAAATCAAGATGAATCGGGAGATGTGAATGCAAACAAGGATGACCCCATGACATGTGTCAAGTTGGTCGACACCATCAATGACCAGATTGCCTATCTGAGCAGAGCTGTTGAGAAATCCGTCGAACTGCACGAGCGCAAGAAGTCCGAATTAGGGGAATCGGGAGGTGAAGAGCAGATGGATTTGCAGGAACAAGTCATGAAGTTGAAGGCACAGCTGGCGACAAAACGCGAACAGATCGCCACACTACGAAGTGTGTTGAAGGCCAACAAGGCGACTGCCGAAACTGCCCTTGCCACTTTGAAACAGAAATACGAATCTGAGAAAGTCATCGTCACAGAAACCATGCACAGGCTGAGGAGTGAGTTGAAGTTGTTGAAGGAGGAAGCTGTCAACTTCCAATCAGTGCGAGGGATGTTTGCCCAGAGATGCGACGAGTACGTCACTCAACTGGAAGAACAGCGTCGACAGTTGATAGCTGCCGAGGAGGAGAAGAAAACGTTGAACTCACTTCTCAAGATGGCAATTCAACAGAAACTGGCTCTCACACAGAAGCTCGAAGATCTGGAGTTTGACTGCGAGAGGAAGTCAATGCGACAGCAGAGAGGTTCCAGATCCAAATTAGGAAAAGTTAGTGAAAATCCAGTCAGTAGTAACGTAATATTGCATGACAAGACATAATAACACCTGCTTGAAACAGTACTTAACAGTTTGTGACATGTATTTATTGAGTAATGGCTCATTAACTTATTAACATGACCTTATCATGGCCAGTCACTTGGACTTGGTTGGTTCGTTGGTTGATTGATTCGCAGCTTGCTGCTTGATTCATTACCTCATTTCACGTTCGTCAGTCATTCAATCGATCGATTGATTAATTGATTCGTTGGTCGATCTTTTTATACTCTTAATTAATTGCATGAATTGTAAATTTGCATTAGTTCTCATTATCACTATTACCTAATTGTTTTTATTCAAATTTAATTGTATGCATAAATTTATGTGAATTTAATGTTTTTATTGTAAATAGTGTATGTTGGATGCTGTTGCACATCATTTCAATCCTGTGCGATTGTATTCACTTTTTAAAACATTTGGCTTTCATTTGTTTGCTTCTTAACATGAATGTATGTGTCTGTCTGTGCGTGTGTGTTTATTTTTATGCATGTGTGTGTGTGTGCGTGCGTATGTGCATGTACGTGAACTGTGTGTATGTGTGCGTGGCGAGTGATGTTTTTAATGCTCTGAGGTGAAAATTTAGAGATTGTTATTCAGCCAATCATCTTTTCAGATTGTTGTTTGAATTAATTTTTAACTGGTACAACATTTGTTAATGACGTTTTCACGCGAACCTCAACCACCACCATACATTTACTACAATCTCCACCATCCAAACCCCTGAGTTATGCACGCGAGTTGTTTGCTTTTGTGGCTCATTAGGTTAACACTTCTTTGATGTCTCAATGACATCTTTCTAACATGGCACGACGACCTTCCAACATTTTCTTTTCCATCTGTTTAGAATGATTTGTGGAGTTATTTGTATGCGTATGCAAGCACTCGCGTACAAATACGCTTGTACACATACATTACACAATCATTCACACATGCATGCATGCACGCGTTAATAATTCATAGGTGCATTAATCTAGAAAGGTAGCAGAGGTTGCTAGTTTAACATTTTTGATCTCGCCCAACCACGTCTACCGTTTCTATCTTTATGTTACTGCATTCTGTACTTGTTTGTGCGTGCAATGTGTGCGTGCTTGTCTGTTGTGTGCGTGCTTGCGAGTGTTTGTACATGTGTGTGTCTGTCACGATGTAAGAATTTTTTCAAATACTTTCTATGCTTCATCTATCATCTTCTCGATACAAATCAAATGACACCGATTAGTTAATTGATCGATTGAATAATTAATTAATTAATTAACCAACCAATTAATTGATTATAATTGGTTAGTTAGCCGTGCGTATAACATTTGTAAATAACCCTAATCTCTCGTAATAACGTTAATAAATCACCATTTCACGGACTTTTGACTTTTCTATGTATTGCTTACTCTTCACCATCCAACGAGACCTTTTTTTGCACCAGGTTTAATAACGACATTTATATTTTATTCTCTATAACATTTAATCAATTTTCAATGCATATGTTCAATTCATTGTAATTGTGCGTCGTTATATGTATTAATTAGTATGCTATAATAACTATACTAACATGTGGATGTGTGTATGTTAGAGATATCTGTACGTCTGTATGTACGTTTATGTTATCGTTGGTTTATTAATGTATAAACATGAACATTACAAACAAACATGACAAACATAAACATGGGTCAATACAATTTTAATGTGCTTTCTTAATTAACAGTGCATACATTTTTCAACTAACAATCAATTTATCTATTAACTAACTAACTGATTGGTTGATTGATTGGATGATTGATTGATTGATTGATTGATTGATTGATTGATTGATTGATTGATTGATTGATTGATTGATTGATTGATTGATTGATTGATTGATGGTTTTTCTGGCTTAATTTCCTATTAGCCATTTCCTTTTGTCAGTATTTCAATGCTTATATTTGGAGTGAGTGTGATTAAAATATAAGAAAGACCTGTCATAAATTTAATTAATTATTTAATTGAATTACTATAACATAATATAAATGAATATTTTTTAGTTTGTGAAGAATGTCTGGCCGGTGAGTGATAATAAATGAAGATGATGATGGTGGTGGTGGTAGGGTAGTGATGATGGAGGTGAGGTTGATGGTGTCTATATGCTAGCACGTACATCATCATCATCATCATGACACGAACAAACCAGCAAATGAACAATCCGACAGACACTAATAAAAGCAGTGTATGTTGACTTTTGTTTGTCTATGTGTCTGTCTGTGTGCATGTGCACGTGTGTGCGCTTGATCGTGTTTATGTTTCTTCGTTTATAATGATGAGGTCATACAATGCATATCAAATCGTCAACCATTCGGTTTAAAATTTTGGCGAAAATCGAATTTTGAAATTATTTTCATTCGAATTGTAATAATATAGCATGTATTCTTACATTAAATTTTACAAAATTAGTTGAGTTAACGGATATAGAAATGCTATTAAATTAATAAGTAGTGTTTAATTAGATTAGTGAAAATTGTATATTCATCTTTCTACTATACAACACATACACCTGGTTCAAAATTTGGTTCAAATTTTGGCTCAATAAATAAATTCACAATATGACACATTCTTTCGTGATTTTTCGGTCTTGATTTTTTTTTCTTGAAATACCGCGCCGTCAGATTGGATTTTATTTCGAAAAGAAAGCTCTGTTGAGTAAGGCGGAAATTTAACCTGGTTTTTCTTTATTGCGCTAAAAATCAGATATTTTCTTTATGTTTATATTCTTTTTGTCTCTATCAGTCTATATTCTATCTCTAAATCTGTCTATCTATCTGTTCGTTTGTCTGTCTGTCTGTCTATCTGTCTATCTATCTATCTACCTACCTATCTATCTATTTATCAAACTACCCTGTCTGTGTCTGTCTGTCTATCTGTCTTTCTCCATGAGTCTTTCTTTTTGTCTCTCTGTTTATCTATCCATCTGTCTAACTTCATCCATCGGTCTCTCAGTTCATTTGTTCATAATTAATGATACTTTTTAATCCAATATTTTCTCTGGCGGTGCATGTTTAGCAAACATTACAAAAAACAGATGATGTATTGACGCCGGCCTCAAGGCCTCTACATCAAACCACCCGTCCGTTCATTCATTCATTTATTTGTTCTTTCATTCATTCATTCATCCATCCATCCATCTTTTTCTTTTTATGTTTGCCGATAACCTTTTTCTTTCATATATTTCATTCGTCTGTCCATCGGTTGTCCAACTTTTTATTTTATACGTCATCAGACAATCTGTCAATTTCTGGTTTATATATTTGTGTGTTTATTCTGTATGTGATGTGATAGTATTTATACCTTATCCATGATACTTTGGATCTTTTTTCTTCCGTATATCCGTGTATCTTCCTTCCATATATTCATTCATATCGTTATTCGGCTTTTTATACTTATATCTATTCAATTATCATCTCTCTCTCTCTCTCTCTCTCTCTCTCTCTCTCTCTCTCTCTTTCTCTCTATCTCTCTCTTTCAGTCTTTTTGCTTGTCTGTCTGTCTGTCTAGTACTGACCACAAGCGTTTCAATTTAAAAATAGCGCAGTTAGAAAAATGAGAAATGTCAAACCTTAAACAATAACGTATAAAGATAAGATGCACATACCTGCGTGGTATTTGTATGGGGTGTAGTAAAAAAATCAAAAAAGACTGAGTAATACACGTTATGTATTGTATGTATATGCATGTATTTATTTATATGTATACATGTGTATGTGTGTGTGTGAGTGTGTGTATGTGTGTGTGTAAGTTATATACGAAATAAATCGCTACTTAATTACGCATGCTAAAACAACCAAGTTTGCGCTTTTCAATAGAAGATTTCCCGAAGAAGATTTTTTTTTTATTAACAGTAACTGTTTGCTTGCATCATTGTATTGATGGTATGCTATAAAAATCGTTCGGTGTCTTTCAATACTAATGACGCCAGTCGCCGCAGTAGTAGTCGTCTTTGAAGCTCTTGTGGTAATGATAACAGCAGCAGCAGGCGATGCATTAGTAGTTGCTGCTGTAGTAATTGGTGCTGTAGTAATTAGCTGCTGTAGTAATTGGTGGATGATAGTTATTGTAATAGTCTTAGTAGTATAAGTAGAAGGAGCAATACCCTAAGGAATACTAGTAATTATAAGTAGTAATATTATTTGTAGTAGTAGCACGTCAGTAGTAGTAGTAGCAGCAGTAGTAGTAGTAGTAATGGTAGCTCCAGTATTAGTAGTAGTAGTAGGGTTTAATAGGTAGTAATAGTAATACTAATTTTAGCATTTTTCGTTCAAATAATTTACTTTAAAATTTAAATAATTTTTTATTTTTTTTATTAAATTTCAAAAATAATGAACGATAACTTGATTTAAAATTAATTTTTATTTCAGTGATGCAGACGATGTCATTGAAGAATTCGAAGAAATTGTTGAATAATAATAAGAATAATAATAATAAATTATGATTACTTTTTATGTATTAACTTTATATTATATTGTAATGTTAATGTTTACCCTTATTAATGTCAACGCCATCACGTAAATGAACGTAACTTCGTCCATATCGCTAATGATGTTATTGTAATGTTATTTAATGTCATTACTATCTTATTTATAGTGTATTTGTTGCGTGAGTGTATATACAACACATGCATTGTATATTTTAATGTTAAGTATATGTGATGCTCAAATATGTGTGTGTCTGTATATTTATGTTTAAACACTTGTACATATATCAATACATATATACCATACCTATTGTATTCACGAAAGCTTCTTGAGTCGCAATGTTGATGTAGTTAATGTGTGCGTGCGTGAGTATGTCTGTGTGAGTGTGTGTGTGTTTTTTTGTTTGTTTCATCTGGCTACTACTACATCAAGTTTTTTTTACATTCTCCTTATCTGAATATAATTTCTTTTCTTTTTTTTACTCTCCTAGTTTATCATTTGCATATGAGTGCGAATGTGCGACTTGATGTATTGGCTTGTGTGATTGTGTGAGAGAAGTAGTGTGTTGTG